TGTATCAGTGTATCGTGACCAGTGACTGCTACTCAAAGATCAATGTGTAGCAGAAACAGAAGATGGCTGTACCATGCAGGGTGTATTCTTGGTTTCTACGTGGTCCTTGAGTGAGCACTACTTATGCCAAGTGAAAATGATGGGTGCTGGTGCTAATATGACTGGGTGGGGTTGCAGAGTTGGTGAACTCTGGTGCGATGTTGAACTCATTGGTAAAAATAGGCTGCTGCGATGGCAAATTTGAGAATTCCTCATGATAATTTAAAGAATAACTGCAGTGAATTGAGCACGTAGGATCGTGTTGAGCAACACGCTATTGCAACCAGCAAGGTGTGAAAACGCGGCAGCACATTGCAAAATAGCTGCGTCAAAGGAGTATTATGGTTATTATGTTTATTATTATTATATGATTTTTTTTGTTGGAAAGGGGGATGGCTTTTGAGATGTATCCAGACAGGCATTTGGCACGTGTTATTTCGCTCAACTAATTACACAGTCAATGCCAGCGTTAGACCCTACCGCCCTTTGAGTACAGGCAGGCAACGGATCAAATGAGTGAGCGGGGTTGTGTAGGACTGACGTTTAAAGAACAGTATGGCCAGAGGAACACATGGTGGGGACTTGTTGGAGTGATGCGAATAGAGAAGAGGCGCGATGAAGAGAGCGAGGACATTGAGGAGAAGAGGAAGGCCTTCAAGAGATGCGCAGTCTTTCCGATGTAGAGCTTTCCTAGAGTTCTCTATCCACCAGTCCCACTTTGGTTTCGTCTTCGTAATCTCGGGATCCATTAAAAGGGTAAACAAGGTGGACCTTAGGCCCTCCCTCGACAGCCGCAGCTTGGCTTTGGTGGACTGACCCACAACCTCTAAGAAGGGCTTAATCAGGGGGACAGAGGTGATCAGCCCTACCACTGAACGTGAGTGAAGAGGTCATCCTCGATGGCCATGCAGTTCCAAGATGTATCTGGTCTCAAGCGTAGTCCACATACATTCAGGGGGTCCAGCATTTTAAGAACGACGGACGCTCAGGAGCAGCAAATTTGAACGAGTTTTCGACCAAAAAACTCGGTTCCAATTTCGTTCAAAAAATAAAAAATGTCCATTTCGACAAAATGGCAGTTCTTGGAGCCTCTATGGTGGAGACAGGAGTGAACAGGGTCCCCAGGTGCTAGTGGTGTCTGCTCTTATCAGCACCACTAACACTGAAGGGCGCTTTTGAAAGAAAAAAAAGAAAAAAAAAGGCAGAGATTGAAGGAGGAAAAGTTTTGAGGAGATATGGAGGGACGTCAGGTTCGGAGCAGGTTGGCGGTGAGTGTTTTTGTATGCGAACTTGGTCATCCTACTGTTATGGCTATGGCTCCTTTGTACTTTCATAATCTTTGGTCATAGAATGCAGGAAAGAATAGACAGAATGGCTCTACGTCAAAAACAGTCAGAGTAAGGCATACTCAGAAGAGGACGTCACAGGATGTAGCTTCAAAATGTCCTACTGCAAAGATACGGGGCTATGTCCTCTTACCTGAGGATTTCATTCATCAGCGCTACCTGTAGTAGGGCTGCCCTACTGACAGTAGGACTTTTCTGCTAAGCTCTGGACCTGATTGGGGTCAGATTCATCCACGTCTGGCCATAACTGCAGTCTAGACTCATTGTGGAAAGTGCTGGTGCGAGTATGCCCTTAGCAATAGGGTCTTAACGGTGTATGACTAGTAGGTCCGTGTATTGGTTTCCTTCTATGCACAACAACGACCAGTCCTGCCCCCTTCTACCGAGGAAAACAACCTCTCTCACCCAATGTACACACTGGGATATAGATGGCTAGTCCAGTCGGTCCAATCAGTCGCCCAAAGGTATACCCAGCCTGCAGTCGGTTTTCACATTCATTCTCCGTTGTCCAGTTTTGGAGTACATGCAGTGTGGGTCCTCGGTGGTGCTCTCTCTCTCTCTCCCTCTTCAGCTCCATGTCCATCTCCACCTTCATCCTCCTCCTGGCCTCCTGCTTTCTTCTCCATCGTTACGAGCTCTGCCATCCAGGCAGCTCCCATTACAGTCTTATCCCTCTTATGTAACACCAACCACCAGTCGTGTCCCCTTCTACCTACAACAACACCCCAGGGGCAAAATACATTCTCACCTAATGTACATGCTACAGATGCTGCCGTAGAGATATCAATCACCGGTCCAGTCAGTCCGCCGGGGGTATACCCAGCCTGCAGTATGTTTTCACATTCATTCCTCGTTGTTCTGTTTTGGAGTACATGCAGTGTGAGTCCTTGGTGCTGCTCTCTCTCTCTCCCTCTTCAGCTCCATCTCCATCTCCACCTTCATCCTCCTCCAGGCCTCCTGCACTCATTACAGTCTGATCCTTCTTATGTACAACACCAACCACCAGTCCTGTCCCCTTCTACCTACAACAACAGCCCAAGGGCAAAATACATTCTCACCTGATGTACATGCTACAGATGCTGCTGTCGAGATATCAATCACCGGTCCCGTCAGTCTGCCGGCCGGCAGTATGTTTTCACATTCATTCTTCATTGTTCAGTTTTGGAGTACATGCAGTGTGAGTCCTTGGTGGTGCTCTCTCTCTCTCCCTCTTCAGCTCGATCTCCATCTCCATCTCCACCTTCCTCCTCCTCCAGGCCTCCTTCCTTCTTCTCCACGGTTCCGGGATCTCCCATCCAAGCAGCTCCAATTCCACTCTTTTTCCTCCTATGTACAATCACCACCAGTCCTCTCCCCTTCTACCTACGACAACAACGGTAGGGCAATATACACTCTCACCTTATGTACATACTGCTGTTGCCGCCTGCCATGATATAGATCACCTTGAATTTGGATATCATTCACCTTGACAATCCTCCACCTGCCTCAGAGCGTAGTTCGTTCGGCAGCCTCAGGTACTTGTTCGTTCGGCAGCCTCAGGTACTTGCATCCCCCGTCGGGCCGGTAGGCTGTAGCGCCCAGGGAAAACCGCCTCATGCAGGGCCTGAAGCGGGATCAAAATACCCCCGAACGTTTCCCAGGTTGTTTTGGCGCCAAAAACTAGAAAGGTTTTGGCGCAAAAAAAACAGTACTGTTTTGGTGCCAAAAAACAGTAAGGTTTTGGCGCCCATGCCCCCACGTTGTTTTGGCGCCAAAAAACAGTAAGGTTTTGGCCCCCATGCCGCGGGTTGTTTTGGCGCCAAGAACTAGAAAGGTTTTGGCGGGAAAAGAAAAAAGTACGGTTTTGGCGCCAAAAAAACAGTACGGTTTTGGCGCGGCTGATTTCCACCAGTTATCCCGACTTTCCCTACTGAGCTCTGGACGGTATTGCAGGCAGATCCCTCCAGCTGTCGCCTCAATAGCAGTCCTAAATATTTAGAGAAGTCCCTGTGGGAGTATGGCCTCACCCTCCTCATGGCCTCCATGGCCAGGCGTACCAGTGGAAAAACGACGGGCTTGGGCGGTTCTCCACCTCCCTTTTCAGGTGGATGAGCTTAGAGACTTTGCCTTCGTAAACACTCTGGAATCCAGGTTCGACCTCGCTGCTTAACCAGTTCAATACCTCGTTCACCTTCGCTTTTTCTGCCGTAGTCATTTTCGAGAAGTGATGCTCTCGGATCTCCCACGCTAAGTTCCGGAGCTCTCTTCGCGATCGCAGAGCGGCCGTTATGTACTTGTCCATCTCTTCCCAATCTGTCTCCCCGTCCTCTGGAGTGACCGCCGCAAGAGCGCCATCCTTGCGGAGCACTCCTTGGAATTCCACCTTGCTCCCTACTTCCTTGTGATTGGCCGTCGCCTCCGCCGTCGCACGGACAATCCCATCGCTGTCCACTTCCAGTGCGATCCTCGAGACCGCCTTTCCCGTCCCTGGTAATGGCAGGAAGCCCTTCTGAACGAGCTCGCCGAAGAATCGGTTATGGCGGCACAGAGCACGTTCGCCCTCGTGCAGCTGGAAGACGATGGTGGTCCCGTCGTCTTTGTTGAAATGGAAGTTCTTCGATCCTTTTGCCGGTATCGGAGATCCTTTGGGTATGATGACACACATCTTACCCAAGGTCGTCTTCACGCCGATGCTTAACGCGGTGATGTCCTCGACGGCTATGGCGGGCCTGTCCTCCTCCCTCAACCCCGGCGCCAGGACTCCTGCCTGCACCGCCGCCCCGTACGCCACCACCTCGTCAGGGTGGACGGTCATCAAGGGTCTCCTACCCTCGAAGAACTTGGTGAGCAGTTCTTGTACCCTCGGTATCCTTGTCGATCCTCCTGCCAAAACTACCTCCGAGATTTCGTGCTTCCCGATGCCCGCCTCTCGAAGAGCCTTCTCGACGACAGCGATGCACTTCCCAAAGAGATGTTCGTTCAAGCATTCGAACCGTGGCCGGTCGATTGACATGCTGAACTCCACCCCTTCGCTTTCGAAAGCGATTTCCGCCTCCTCCTCGAAGGAAAGGGTGTGCTTGACAGCGACGACGGCCTGTCTCAGCCTCGGACGGACCTGGCGATGGCTGAGAATGCTCTGCTTCGTCCGACGCTCGTACTCGTCTGCCACATGCCTCGTCAGCACGTTGTCGATGTCGGCGCCTCCAAGATGCGATTCCCCTTCCACCGCCCTAACCTCGAAGTCGCACTCCTCCCCATCTCTCTCCTTCACGGCTATGATCGATACGTCGAACGTTCCCCCGCCCAGATCGAAGACCATTATATTCTTTCCCGCGGATGGCTTGCCAATCAAGCGCTGATATCCGTACGCCAAGGCTGCGGCCGTGGGCTCGTTCATCAAGCGCAGCACGTTCAGCCCCGCCAGCACACCGGCCTTCCTAGTCGCCTCCCGTTGACTGTCGTTGAAGTAGGCTGGGACTGTGATCACCGCATCCGAGATTAGAACACCGTCCAGAAAATTCTCCGCGATCCTCTTCATCTCCTTCAGCAGTATGGCAGAAATCTCCTCCGGCTCGAGCAACTCCTCGCCCGATGCTCCCGGGACTCGAATTAAGACCCCGCCGGTTGGCCCAGCCTCCACCTCGAAAGGCCACATGGCCCTCAGTTGGACGAGCTTGGGATCGAGGAACGATCGCCCCATCACGCGCTTGATCTCGAATACGCATCGCTCAGGATGCCGCTCCCCAAACATCCTTGCGGCTTCGCCAGCAAGCCATTTTTCACCGTTGAAAGCCACCACCGATGGCGTGACACGTGATCCGATCCCATTGGGAACGATTTCGACTTGCTTGTTTCGGTAAACTGCTGCGCAGCAGAACGAAGTGCCGAGATCGATTCCAAGGACTGGACGGGACGCCATCTCGTCCGCCAAACTGCTCGCACATGCGCAAATGCACCAGGATCTTCAATGCACAATCTCCCTCCCTCCCTCCCTCCCTCCCTCCCTCC